GGTGACAGCGTGCACTGACCACACGGTGACAGCGTGCACTGACCACACGGTGACCATGGACACTGACCACACGGTGACCATGGACACTGACCACACGGTGACCATGGACACTGACCACATGGTGACAGCGCACACTGACCACACGGTGACAGCGCACACTGACCACACGGTGACAATGTGCACTGACCACACGGTGACCATGGACACTGTCCACATGGTGACAGCGCACACTGACCACACGGTGACAGCGCACACTGACCACACGGTGACAGCGCACACTGACCACACGGTGACAGCGCACACTGACCACACGGTGACAGCGCACACTGACCACACGGTGACAGCGCACACTGACCACACGGTGACAGCGCACACTGACCACACGGTGACAGCGCACACTGACCACACGGTGACAGCGCACACTGACCACACGGTGACAGCGCACACTGACCACACGGTGACAGCGCACACTGACCACACGGTGACAGCGCACACTGACCACACGGTGACAGCGCACACTGACCACACGGTGACAGCGCACACTGACCACACGGTGACAGCGCACACTGACCACACGGTGACAGCGCACACTGACCACACGGTGACAGCGCACACTGACCACACGGTGACAGCGCACACTGACCACACGGTGACAGCGCACACTGACCACACGGTGACAGCGCACACTGACCACACGGTGACAGCGCACACTGACCACACGGTGACAGCGCACACTGACCACACGGTGACAGCGCACACTGACCACACGGTGACAGCGCACACTGACCACACGGTGACAGCGCACACTGACCACACGGTGACAGCGCACACTGACCACACGGTGACAGCGCACACTGACCACACGGTGACAGCGCACACTGACCACACGGTGACAGCGCACACTGACCACACGGTGACAGCGCACACTGACCACACGGTGACAGCGCACACTGACCACACGGTGACAGCGCACACTGACCACACGGTGACAGCGCACACTGACCACACGGTGACAGCGCACACTGACCACACGGTGACAGCGCACACTGACCACACGGTGACAGCGCACACTGACCACACGGTGACAGCGCACACTGACCACACGGTGACAGCGCACACTGACCACACGGTGACAGCGCACACTGACCACACGGTGACAGCGCACACTGACCACACGGTGACAGCGCACACTGACCACACGGTGACAGCGCACACTGACCACACGGTGACAGCGCACACTGACCACACGGTGACAGCGCACACTGACCACACGGTGACAGCGCACACTGACCACACGGTGACAGCGCACACTGACCACACGGTGACAGCGCACACTGACCACACGGTGACAGCGCACACTGACCACACGGTGACAGCGCACACTGACCACACGGTGACAGCGCACACTGACCACACGGTGACAGCGCACACTGACCACACGGTGACAGCGCACACTGACCACACGGTGACAGCGCACACTGACCACACGGTGACAGCGCACACTGACCACACGGTGACAGCGCACACTGACCACACGGTGACAGCGCACACTGACCACACGGTGACAGCGCACACTGACCACACGGTGACAGCGCACACTGACCACACGGTGACAGCGCACACTGACCACACGGTGACAGCGCACACTGACCACACGGTGACAGCGCACACTGACCACACGGTGACAGCGCACACTGACCACACGGTGACAGCGCACACTGACCACACGGTGACAGCGCACACTGACCACACGGTGACAGCGCACACTGACCACACGGTGACAGCGCACACTGACCACACGGTGACAGCGCACACTGACCACACGGTGACAGCGCACACTGACCACACGGTGACAGCGCACACTGACCACACGGTGACAGCGCACACTGACCACACGGTGACAGCGCACACTGACCACACGGTGACAGCGCACACTGACCACACGGTGACAGCGCACACTGACCACACGGTGACAGCGCACACTGACCACACGGTGACAGCGCACACTGACCACACGGTGACAGCGCACACTGACCACACGGTGACAGCGCACACTGACCACACGGTGACAGCGCACACTGACCACACGGTGACAGCGCACACTGACCACACGGTGACAGCGCACACTGACCACACGGTGACAGCGCACACTGACCACACGGTGACAGCGCACACTGACCACACGGTGACAGCGCACACTGACCACACGGTGACAGCGCACACTGACCACACGGTGACAGCGCACACTGACCACACGGTGACAGCGCACACTGACCACACGGTGACAGCGCACACTGACCACACGGTGACAGCGCACACTGACCACACGGTGACAGCGCACACTGACCACACGGTGACAGCGCACACTGACCACACGGTGACAGCGCACACTGACCACACGGTGACAGCGCACACTGACCACACGGTGACAGCGCACACTGACCACACGGTGACAGCGCACACTGACCACACGGTGACAGCGCACACTGACCACACGGTGACAGCGCACACTGACCACACGGTGACAATGTGCACTGACCACACGGTGACCATGGACACTGACCACACGGTGACACCGTGTGTTGACCACGTGGTGACCACATGTGACACCCCCGCCCCACAGGACAACAGCCGTCGCGTGGAGAACGTGCTGAAGCTTTGGGTGATCAGGGGTGATCGGAGACCACAGGCACTGACCATGTGGTGACCACACTCTCCTCCCCCGCCCCGCAGGACAACAGCCGTCGCGTGGACAACGTGCTGAAGCTGTGGGTGATCGAGGCGCGCGACCTGCCGCCCAAGAAGCGCTACTACTGCGAGCTGTGCCTGGACGACATGCTGTACGCCCGCACCACCAGCAAGGCCCGCACCGACAACGTCTTCTGGGGCGAGCACTTTGAGTTCAACAACCTGCCGGCCGTGCGCACCATCCGCCTGCACCTCTACAAGGACACCGACAAGAAGAGGAAGAAGGACAAGAGCAACTACGTGGGCATGGTGAGCATCCCCATCGCCAGCGTCACCGGGCGGCACTTCGCCGAGCAGTGGTACCCCCTGAGCCAGCCCAGCGGTAGCAAGAGCAAGGCCGGCTGTCCGGCGCTGCGGGTGAAGAGCCGCTTCCAGACCATGAGCATCCTGCCCATGGAGCTGTACAAGGAGTTCGCCGAGTACGTCACCAACAACTACCGCATGCTGTGCGCCGTGCTGGAGCCGGTGCTGAGCGTCAAGAGCAAGGAGGAGGTGGCCTGCGCGCTGGTGCACATCCTGCAGAGCACCGGCAAGGCCAAGGTGGGAGCGGGAATGGGGTGGTGGGGTGGTGGGATGGTGGTGGGATGGATGATGGATGGATGGATGATGGATGATGGATGATGGATGGATGATGGATGGATGATGGATGATGGATGATGGATGGATGATGGATG